TGAAAAGTATAGTACTCCGAAAAATGAAGTTAAAGATGATATCAGAATATCAAAAGATATCCCCTATTCTGGATAAGCAGAAGCAGTATAGACAAAATGAGTTCCAAAATTGATATACAGAGGTTTGATGCAATCCTAATCAAAGCTCTAACAGCATTATTCACCGAACTGGAGAAAACAATCCTAAGATTCCTATGGAATCAAAAGAGACTCAGAATAACAAAAGCAATCCTCAGTAAAATGATCAATGTGGAAGGTGTCAGAATCTGACATTTGAAGTTATGTTACAAAGCTACTGTGATAAAAACAGCATTGTACTGGCATGAAAATATACACGAGGATTGATGGAACAGCACTGCGGATACAGAGACAAAACAAAACATATTAAACTATTTGATATTTCACAAAGAGGCCAGAAGCATACCATGGAGGACAAGTAGCTTCTTTATGCACCATTTCCCTGAAAATATGACCCAGCCAAAAAATAACCAGCCTTGAGAACTAGAGATTAAAAAATGCCACCCCCCTCAGCCCATTCTTGCCTTATCTTCTGTCACCATTCTCTTTCTCAGTGGCTCCTCTGTATCACAATAAAGCTAATTATTTTCCAGCTAGGTCTTATTTTGGGAGAAGTACTGTAAATGGTATTGGGAAAACTTACAATCCATGTGCAGAAGACAGAGCCATATTTTTCACCATGTACTGAACTAAAATCAAAATGGATCAAAGAACTAAATATTAAAACAGGAATACAACCTGCTGGAATATAAAATCTGTAAAGCTCCTGATGTCATAGGCATAGGCAAGAACTTTCTAAACCTAACCCCAGTTGTACAGAAAATACTATCAAGAATCAACAAATGGGATCATATCAAATTAAAAGCTTCTGCACAGTAAAAGAAACAACTAACACATCGAAGAGACAACCTATAGAATGAGGAAAAATTGCCAGCTATACCTCAGAATACTAATATCTAGACTACACAAAAAACTAAAAAAAAAAGACCCTGAAAATAAAACCCCTAAACAAAAAATGGGCAAGTGAAGTGAATAGAAACGTGACAGAAGTACAAATGACCAGTAAATATACAAAGAAATGATCAACTGCAGATAACATGATCTTCTATATAAAAGACCTCCAAAAATCTATGAAAAACTTTAATAATTAATGAGGAAATTCAGTATCAGGATAAAAATTACAGTGCAAATTAAAACAACACAGATTCCATGTTACCCAGCAAGAATGGCCTTCATCTGGAAATAAAATAATAACAAATACCGAAGAGGGTTCAGGGGAAAAAGGAACACCTTCTCTAGTTGGTGAGAACACAAACTAGTACAATCCCTCTGGAGATTATTCAAGAAACTGAACTTGAAATTCTATTTGTCTCAGCTATTCCCCTTCTATGAATCTTCCCAAAAGAGTAAAGGGTATCACATTATTCTGGTACATACATCCCCATGTTTGTAGCAGCACAATTCATAATAGTTAAATCTTGGGAATGGCCTATATGTCCATCAACAAATGAATGATTAAAAAAAAGTTGCATAATTATAATCCCAGCCCTTGGGAGGCTGAGGCAGGAGGATTGTCACAGGTTCATGTTCAGTTTGGGCCACATAATGACCTCAAGGGTAGCCTGAACTGCACAGTGAGACCCTGTCTCAAAAAAAAAAAAAAAAAAAAAAAAAGAGAGAGAGAGAGAGAGAGAGAGAGAGAGAGAGAGAGAGAGAGAGAGAAACACAGAAAGCAAGCAAGCAAGCAAGCAAGCATTTACATACAATAGAATGCTAGTGCTCCATAAACAAAAGCCTGAATCACTCATAAGAAAATGAATACACTTTAAGCCTACATGTTAAATGAAATAAATCAAACACACAAGCTTACATATTGGATGGTTTCTCTTATTTCAGAAACTTAAAGTATTAAAAGCCAAATAAAATATAGATAATAAGTAGAGAGATCTTTCTCAAAGCAGAAAGGAATCAAGAGATGGAGGGAGTGGGGAGGGAAGAGAGGGAAAGGAGATGAAAAACAGGAATCAAGATGTGCAATGTACATGTACCAACTTCACACAGGTAATGTAAACATTATGTATTGAGAACATGTACAACAACAAAATAAAAGGAAAGAGAAGGAAAGGAAGAGGATCAAAGATGGATGGAGCTGAGAGGGAAGGAAGTAAGAGAGGACTGAAAAAGGAATTAAAATGTATTATGTATGTGTACCATTTGTCCATAAGGAATGTAAACATTAAAAACAGAAAGTATATGGAGAATTAAAAAAAAAAGAAAAAAAAAAAAAAAAAAGAAAGGGGAACCTGTTAAATTGTTCCCTAATCAGACCCTTAGGGCATTAGCTGCTTTCCCATAGGCACTCAGGGGATAATTCTTCAGATTAAGACTTTCTCCTCTTATCTATTCCCTGGGAGATGTCAAGGGCAGCTGTAGTTTCAACCATCCTACTTACTGGGCTGCAGAGCGGTTAAGAGGGAGACATTTGGGAAGCAGTTTTCTGGAAGAGGTGGGTGTAAGATGAAAAGAACTGTAGAAATTTTGTGGAGGTTGTAGCAATGCCCAAGCTAAGGGGAAAGATTATAACTCAGGGAAGGGGAGCTGCTGTGAGTTTTGTCCTAGAACTAGAGAGACAACTAAGATAACAATCACCTGGAGAAATTATCTATTGTATTTCTTTCTGGGACAGTAACTCCAAGACTTTTCTTACTTTAATTAATTTCTGGATTAAGTTTTTTAATCTAGGATATTTGCATTTTATACATTAGAGTCAGGAAAGGTCTCTAAAAATAAAGAATGCTAGAACAAAACCGAGCTTATGAGTTGAGCTACTGGGCTATTTCAGCAGAAAATATAGGAGTCCTGTTAGGTATAATTTTGTTTCCATGTACCAGTGTCAAATTACTTTCCTATGTGTATCATTTTTCTTTTCTTAAATTTGTAAAATTTATTTATTTATTTATTTTTGTTATTGAGACAGGATCTCACTATTGCAGTTCAGGCTGGCCTTGAGCTCACTTTGTAGCTCCAGTTGGTCTCAAACTCCCCACAATCCTCCTGCTTCTGCCTCCCAAGTGCTGGGATTACAGGTGTGTACCACCACATCTGATGTTCTTTTTTTTTTTTTTGTAAAGAACCCAGTCTCTAAAAATATGCCAATTTTTCCTTTTTCTAGGTTTCTATTTTCCAATTCTAAAGTGTACTAGAAGTAAAGAACAATGTTAGTCTGACTGCTTATTTTTTTGTTGCCTCTCTAAAAGGAAAACAGAGCTATTATAAGGGCACTATTTTCTGTCATAGCAGGAAAGCACATTGAGGATAATAAACTCAAAAGATATGAAGATGTCAAAATAATTTTAAAATATGATATCCATATTATTTGTCATTCTTAGAAGTTCAGATTTGTAGAGAACCACCTTTTGTTTTTAGAGGCGATTAACATCTTTGTATTTTAAAAATATTACTGTAGTACCTGAGTAAGACTCAGGTAGAGAAAGATAACTTTGAAAACAATGAATCCAAGTAAGAACAATTAAAACAAAATAAGCAGAACCTAAGTTGTTTTTCTTGTGACCATTTAAAATAGTTCTAAAAGTAGTTTTCTTAAAGATACTGTATTGTCCCTTGGATTCCTCTTGTTTCAAAAGAGATTTAATATCCTATTTGTATCAGTAAAAAGCTAGAGAAATATATCTTAGTTTGCCCCAGACCAATGAACTACTATTAAATTTCATTTTAGAGGCTTATGAAAGCCCCAGCCCTACTTTTATACTTTCTTATCGGTACAATGCATGAAAAGCTCTGCAAATGTACTACAAGGTAGAAGAGGTAACTTTCTAGTGATATCAGATGATCTTAATTTCCTGGTTTTTCATAATTTTTTCATTCTGTGTGCCCAGTGGTTCTCAACTGGCACTTTCCTTTTTCCACTTCTCCCCATAGAGACATTTAGCAATTTCTAGAGCCATTTTGGTTTTCATAACTAAGGAGGGGGCTGAACTAGTGACATCCAGTATGTTGAAATCAGAGATACTGTTAAACATCGGACAATACCCTGAACAGTCTCTTTCCCTCTCACAGAGAAAAAGTATCATGTCTAAAATGTCAGCAGTGCTCAACTAGAGAAAACCTACTTCATGCCAACTGATTAACTTTATAGAGTGGGTATAGATAAAGATATCTGAAGCTCTCAACAAACCTATCTCAGGGTGTGAAAGGTTGATTAAAGGCTTTCAATGACATCAAACTACCCCATATGTGATTTCTAGATTGGTTTGTTTCAATTATGAGCTAACTCCTTCTATAGAGCAGATTGCATTACTTTGCACACACAAATATATCACATGATCTAGGTTGATGTGTTTTAAAGTAAGCTATAATCAGTATGATATTTGGCTATTTCTTTTCAATCAGTTGTTTACAGTGGGGTTGACCAAGGGAAGTGGCACCTGCCTGCAGGTTTTAAAAGGCTCACTTTACAATGGTGAAATTCTTAAATACAGAGTGAGTTCATTTTGTCACCATTTTGTGTTCTCAATATTTCATTTTTAAAAATCTACTTATTTAAATTGTTTGTAATTAACTACTATAATATATATTCCAATGCATATCTTTGTACATAATTTTTATATGTAAAAGTTTTTCCATAGAGTACATGGTGAAAGGCAGGCTGTGAACCATTTTAAGGTTTTCAATAAGAAATGCCAAATTGCTTTGTCAGGAGAGTTAATACCAACTTATGCATAAATGGCAAACTGTTTAGTATGAGAATAGTTCACACGATGAAGTATAATTACTGAAAATATTTGCAAATTTGACAATGTAACTTTGTAATTTAGAGAGGAACTCGCATTGCATATTTTATTTAATTATCTTATTTGCAGGATTGTTCCATTTGGGAAAAAGAAATTTCTATTTGTTCTTGGAATACACTTAGAATTATAACCACTTTATCCCCTTGTTCAATCAGTGAAGCTACTGAAAGCATGGGTCAGGAGAATCAGACAACTGTGACTGAATTTTATTTCTCTGATTTCCCTCCATTTGAGAACAGCAGCCTCTTACTGTTCATTGCTCTGCTCTTTATTTATATTTTCATTATTGTTGGAAATTTCATGATCTTCTTTGCTGTCCGGTTGGACACTCGTCTCCATAATCCCATGTACAATTTCATCAGCATCTTCTCTTTCCTGGAGATTTGGTACACCACAGTGACTATTCCCAAAATGCTCTCCAACCTGGTCAGTGAACAGAAGAGCATCTCTTTCATTAGTTGCCTCCTGCAGATGTATTTTTTCCACTCACTTGGAGTCACAGAAGCGCTGATCCTCACAGTGATGGCCATTGACAGATATGTTGCCATCTGCAATCCTCTTCGCTATGCAATCATTATGACTCCTCGGCTGTGCATCCAGCTGTCCACTGGCTCTTGCATTTTTGGCTTCCTTATGCTATTGCCAGAGATTGTATGGATTTCTACTCTTCCTTTCTGTGGCCCCAACGAAATCCATCAGCTCTTTTGTGACTTTGAACCTGTGCTGCACTTGGCCTGCACAGACACTTCCATGATTCTGGTTGAAGATGTGATCCATGCTGTCTCCATCCTGACCTCTGTTTCTATCATCAGCCTTTCCTACTTAAGAATCATCACAGTGATTCTGCGGATTCCCTCAGGTGAGAGCCGTCAGAAAGCATTCTCCACTTGTGCAGCCCACATTATCATTTTCTTGTTATTTTTTGGAAGTGTGGCACTCATGTACCTCCACTTCTCTGTTACGTTTCCCCCATTGCTGGACAAGGCCATTGCACTGATATTTGCTGTCCTTGCCCCACTTTTCAACCCAATAATCTATAGTCTACGGAATAAAGACATGAAGGATGCCATCAAAAAGATCTTCTGTTCTCAAAAAATGTTTAATGTCTCTGGGAGTTAATGGGAGTTCACCAATATTATTCAAAGAAATCTCATCATCTCCATAATTCTAAAATGTTCTGACATTAGTTTTTAAAATTATTGTGCACATTTTGCTTTCATGTTGCTGATTGTGTGTTCTTTCCCATTTTCCAATTTAAGAACTATTGCTTGATCTTATAGAGGAAGCCTGCTGTATATGTACCTGTCTTCACATCATTCACAGATTATAATGAATATATTCTCCACTCTGCACCCTCAAATATTATAGTATCATCTTCAAGTTGATCAAAGATCATGGCCAAAGAGATAATGATATTTGTAATTTGTACATTTAAATATTTCCCTTCTATATGCTTTAATTTTATATTCACAATACCCTTATATTGTTTGTTTTTTATTTTAAGATTAATGAGATACAGTGAAATTAAGTAATTTAAGCTTGGGAAAGAAGTTTGACTCCCTAATGTTCATGTGAGAGACCTTTACCCCTCCATAAATTCTGATTTACTGCAATGGTTACATGACACAAATAGTCACTGACTTTGTGATGTTTGCATCAGGATGTTATTATCAAGTCCTTTGTGGGTTAATTCTCACATTGTTTTGAAATTGAAAACATTCTTGGTCACTTAAGGACCAGATAGATATAATGTATTGTCTGGGGACCAAAACCTATAAATGTACAAGTTATACAATGCTATTTTGGTATTTAACAAAATTATCAGTACTATTAAAATGTTTTGTTCTGTTCTCTTTTATGTTAAAAATCCATCTCAATTTCATCCCTCAGTCTTTATTATCATTGTTGGTTAATTTTTGGTATATTTCCCTCTTCCCTGCTTTGGAACTTAAATTCACCCATTAAAAAGTTCACACATATTCACATTTTATTGTCCGGGATAGATGTTTCCGATTTTCTTTCACAAAATTATACTAGTAGTTTTAGGAGCTGGTGAATTTTCTCCAGAAAATAATTTCGGCCCAGTTTCTATGGAGACCAAACAAGGCTGCAAAGCAATTGTCAGAGGGAGCATAAAGAGTGGGCAGCCAGGTGGACGTGTGGGAAGGAGAGAGAGGAGACAATAGTGAAAATATCATTACCGTTGAATGAAAGTAAGCTGCAGTCAGCAAAATCCAGGCTGGTAGATGAATGCTGGGATCCACTCAGGAGTGTAAAGTCACAAAAGACCCGCTCTAGTGTTAGGGACCAACTGTATTCTTTATCTTCTATCATGTTTATAAAATCAAAGCCCTTCCTACATTACCATGAACTTTTTGGTGTCAATAAGGAAGATTTTTGCATGGAAAAAATTATATGTAAATATAAATGTTATTCTAATAGGTTAAATTATATTAAATAATGCAAATATAAGTATTACTAAATATCTGTGGAGTATTATTTTAAAATTGAACTTGAATTTTTTTTCTTAAATATTTCTATGGTTAGCTCTAAAATTAAAAGACACTAATCACTAAAGAAGTAAGTATGTGACTTGTATTTTTCTTCATGAAGCAAATACCTACGGAGGTTACTATGGCCTATGATTGAAAAAAGTGGTGAATGTTTAAATTTTTAAAAATTATTACAGCAAAGGACACAATGCCATTAATCGCCCTCAGAACACTCCCAGGTGTTCGTGCCACTTTCTGTTTTTCTTCAGGTACCGGGAATTGAACTCACAACCTTGTGCTTGCCAGGCAGGCACTGTGCACCTGAGCTAAATCCCTAGCCCCAGTTCTTGCCATTTTCTAAAGCAGTTCTGGAGGTCCTCTTTTGTGTTTTTAATTGTGCTGAATGTCCTGAATCAATTAAAAATGTTTGCCTTTCATAGTCATTTTGACTTTGAGGAAGATCTAGAAGCTTCAAGGTACCAAATCTAGTGAATATTGTGGATGGAGTTACACTGTGATGTTTTCATGATGGCACAGGGCAGTAGCATTCACCACGTGTTTGAACACACCTTGTAAAAACACTCAGGAAAGAGGACTTCCAGAACTGCTTCAGAAAGCGGCGAGGATGGGCTAAGTGTGTTTGAAGCAAGGTGGTGTATATTCTAAGAGGCAGTAATGGGAATGTGTTTTTTAATGCAATATGTTTTTTTAAAATATAAACATTCACCTTCTATTTTGATGGAACCTTGTACACCAGGTACTATTTTAGGTTTTTAAACTATGACTGTCAAAAACCTCCTCTGTCTTATATAACTGACATTTTAGAAGGAAGATATTTTACAAAAAATTCAAGTTAAAGTTAAACGAAAAAGTCATTCATGGTTACATGAAAGTATGTGTTCTATAGGAAATAGAAAACAGAATTAAGAGTGGGAAGAGGCATCATGATTTTAAACAGATGGGTTGAACCTCATTTCAAAGGTCACATTTAAAAAAAGATACTCATTTTGAAAACAGATCAAAGAGGAAGAAAAGGGTACTCATATAGGTACATAATCCAGGCTGCAATAAAAGCTAGCAAAAATGCACCAAAGTGGTAAGGATTTAGCCTGTTTAAGGAATCACAGAGTCCACTGTGGCTGAAATGGAGTGTGGATGGGTATGGAAAACTAAAAAATCAGTTCAGGGCAATAAGAAGTAGGAACTGAAAGACCATTATAAGTATTAGATTTGAAATTTACTCTGAAGATTGAAGGAGAATTGGAGAGTGTTGAGCAGGTGAGGGGTGATATCTAGTTTAGAGTTTAACATACTCATGCTGTGTTGAGAAGACAAAGAGGAGAGTCAAAGTGAAAGTTGGAATCTCTGGGGAGTTACTACAGTAATACTCATGAGAGATGATGTTGGCTTGGATCATCAGAATGGTAGCAATAGACATGGACATCTGGCCCAACTCTAGATATAGTTTGACAATAGAACCAACATGATTTCCTCATAGATTGAAAATAGAGTGCAAAAGGGAGGAGTCAAGGATGCCCAACTGGAATGATTGGGTTGCCATTTGCTGAGACAGCATGCTGCAGGAGGAAGGTGTTGGGGTAAAGATTTTCAAAAGTTTAGTTTTGCACATCTTTAGATTACTGAAGAGCTAATGCAACCAAGTAGCGGATATATGAGTTAAATACTCATCAATGAAGGCTGAGAGAGGTGGAGATATGAGTGTAAATTTAGTAAGCATGGAGGAGTAAAGTGTGAGACTCGATAAAACTATCAAAAGCATCAATAACATGGATTTGAAGAAAATAAGACAAATCATACAAAATGATTCAGAAGAAGTAAACAATGAGATATAAAGTAAAACAAGTGTCCTGAGAGTCAGGTAAGTAAAATAACACCAAACAGAGGAAAAAGCGATCAATTTTATCAAATTCTGTTAACAGTCAAATAAATTAAGAAGTAAAAATTGGTTTTGGGGAGTATCCATCTAGAGGTCATTGTTAAACTTATTAAGAGAAGTCTGTATGGAGTGGTGGAAGCAAAATCTTGCTTGGAATAGTTTAACAGATCAAAGAAAAATGGGGAATTTTAAGTATGAACAACTCTTGAACAGAGTATTACGATCCTTTAGAGTCCTATAGAGCAAATGAGATTACTAAAATACTTTGTTGACTCTGACTGAAATTTAAGAAATAAATTTCAAATTATAAATCAGAGTATAAATATGTTTGCATATTCATATTTCTATTTATAATAAACATTTTTATAAAATAATATTGACATGCTCCATGTGATACATCTGATCTTTGCTATTCTGTTTTTTCCTATTCCATTTCATTTAAAAAAAGAAAGGAAAAGTTAATGATCACTTGTTTGATCAAAAAAAATTTTTGAAACTGATTCCAACACTCACTAATAATGGATTTTGGCCTTTGATTTTTACATATAGTTAAATTAGATCTTTAAATCTTTTTATCTTTGGATACGAATCCTGGATAACAGTTTCCAATTTTAACTGCATTTACCAATGGTTTCTAACTCATTTATAATAAAGCATTACATTTTATTAAAATCGAATTTTTATTTTTAAAAATATAATTTAAAAGTGATGAAAAAAATACACACTCTCTGATAGTGCTGCTATGTCATCCAAATGGCATAATCTTTTCTAGAGAAATTTAGTCCCATGAGTCAAAAGAATTAATATACATAGATATCCACTAAAAGTAGGAGATAGAGAAGACTTCTCTGATGAAGAAGAAGAAAACTGGAAGACTGAGAAGGAATCAAGCAGAAAACATATAAGATGAGTCTTTTTTGAACATGCCCAAATGTGAGCAACAGCTGAGTGCATTGTGAGAACCAGAAGGGGACACATGCAGAATAGGTAGAGGGGAGAAGGGTGAGGAGAGGAAAGCTAGAGGTAGCATACGAGATATTATGGTTTAACCCAACCTACCTTGAAAACATTGAAAAAATTTAGGTAAGACACTATATTCTTACAATGACATTGTCAAAGTTATACGAATTTTAGATTGTATTGTGACAGAAGTAGAGGTAGAAGGATGATTTAAGAGAACTGACCAGTTATTTTTTGCTCTGGAACAAACACCCCCCCCAATTAATAGTTTAAAACAGACATTGTCATACAATTTCATGGGATGGCAACCCAACGAGGCAGCAGCTAGTTTACTAGAGTTGGCTGAGCAAGCTTATGTAAGACAAGTGTACTCTCCTCCATGTGTCCATTCACCTACTAACAGGCTAACTGTGTTTGTTTGCCCACTTGATGGCTAGAGTGTTGTCTAAGGCTCAGAAATGGCAAGTTAATTCTCTTGTTACATAAATCAAATTTTAAAAGGACAGAGGAGAAGGAAAGAGATATTGCATCCTCTGATTAACAAATGTGTTAATTCGCCTTGCAAGGAGCAAAATTACATGGTAGAATTTATATTGTACAATTATTCACAATGTGGAAATTATTGGCAATCTTACTTTACGCTACAATCTACACTGTAACCACTGAAACTAAACAATTATGTGAAGGCTAAAACATTGGGGAAGTAAACTATGTATATTTAAAATTATCATAAAATAATATATTGATCAAAGCAAACAAATTGTTATAGC